GGACACGACTGAGCGACTGAACTGACTGACGCATAGAAACTCTCGAAATTCCTCACCATTCATGGAACTGCAGCTGTTGTGATTTCAACCTGTGGTCCGAGTGGAAACAAACATCTCTGCTGCCACCTGCCTCCTCGGTGCCTGTCTGTCCAGAGGTGAGCGTGGCAGTCAGGTGGACCACTCAGAGTCCTTCCCTGTGGTTTTCTTTAATTGAAGCTTCGCTAAAGGGGTGAGTGTTGTCTTCCCTATTGGTGCTGTGGGTGATGGTCGGCCTGGGAGCTGTGTGAGCCTGGAAAAAGCAGGCCTGAAAGGACACACCTGGCAACAGGGGCAGTGGGGTGCAGATCTGAGTACCTGCAGAAAATGCCTCCTCTGAATCCCGGAACCCCGGAACCCCAGTTTCAAAGGGTGATCCATGGACCGGCCCTGATTCTGCTTCTCAAGCCTGATTGTGTGAGCCAACCTCAGTGTCTTTCTCCTGAACTCCACCCCCTTCTCTCGTAACCCTAACCTAGCCAAGTTGGAAAGAAGTTACCAGGCACAGTCTATGCCTCCTTGAAGGCAGAGTATTCTTATAAATTATTTTGAAATTCTTCTGCATGGAAGGTTTGTCTCTCCTCACCCATTTATTTATGTTTCTAATCATTTCTTTTACTTTTTTTGGTGTTACTTTGCAGTCTGTTTTTTGAATTTATTGAAGTATAGTTGATTTATAATGTTGTGTTAGTTTCTGGTATACATCAAAGTGATTCAGTTACATATATATATATATATATATTCCTTTCCTTATTCTTTTGCATTATGTTTTATCACAGGATATTGAATATAGTTCCCTGTGCTATACAGTAGGACCTTGTTGTTTATCCATTCTCTGTGTAATAGCTTGCATCTGCTAATACTAAACTCCCAATTAATCCCTCCACTACCCCTTCCCCTGGCAACCACAAATCTGTCCTCTAACCATTTCTTTACATCAAATGGACTCATGGAAATTTATTTCATACCTTGGGTTATAATCTAGCACTATATTTTTTGCTGTCAAGTTGTCCCAACTTTGTTCATTGGGAGTTCTTTCAGTTCCCCACTCTGTCCCTTTTATAGACCCCACCCCTCCGTCTCCACCCTACCCCCACCATTGTGAGTTGGGTTATTTTTGCTTTATTTTGCTTTTACAGTACTTCCTTACTTTGTGGCACTACTTTCTGGCATTTCAGGCTTATCTTGGAAATTTCCTGCTGCAGTCCTGGGATCAGCTTAGTTCTAGCCACCAAAATCAAGGAACCAGGTGTGCTCAGGTAGTTTATCCTTACATTACAGAGAAAGAAACTGCAGCTTGGTGAAGCGAAATATTTAGCTCAAAGTCATATGGCTATTTTACTCCTACCGCTCATTGGAAAGCATCTGTCTGTCTCTCCTTCCTAATTATTAATCTCGACCTAAGCACAGTATATCCGGTGGGATTGCAGAAGAGAGGTTGTATCCACGCTGTTCCTGCTCCATGTACACTGTAAAGCGCTGCGCTCACATGGGTGTGGTTACCGTTATTACTGCCTCATGTTGTTCTTTTACGAAAGAAAGTCTCTGTGTGCCTGCTCCGGAGCCCCAGGCACATGCCATGGGCTGTTAGGATTTTTTTCCAGCCTCCTCCGTGTTCATCCCCAGCTAGACCCAAGGTGCTCGGAGAGTCTCCGGCAGGCGCCAGCAGCCCTGGGGTCACAGCCGGTCAGCACTGCCGCCTGCCATCTGGCCTTCCTCTTCCACCTGGGCCGCAACCCCCTGCCGGGGTGGGAGGTGGGGCTAATGCCTGGAAAGTGCTAGAAGGCTGTGCCTCGTCATGAAGTGAAGACAGGAGACTTGAGAAATGAGAAGCTAACCAGCCAGAGGAAGTGGGTGAGCTGCGGGCCCACAGGAAGGGCTGCTTGCTGACACCGCCCAGGGCGGGCTGCCTCCTCGGGGCAGCCTGGACACCCCGAAGTGCAGCCTTGCAGCCCCTGAGCACATCACTCCTCCGTGGGCCCCTCGGGGCGGGGCGGCCTCTCCACCAGTAAGTCACTCCCTTCCAGCCAGGGCTGTCCTCGGCTTCTCCTGTTGTAATAGAAGAAAGGCCGTGTCTGAGCCCTGCAGTCTTTGAGAGGCCCCCAGACTCGGACCAGCTCTCCCCATCCACCCCAGCCATGCCATGCCCTCGGTCCAGAAGGCGGCCAGAGGACTGAGTACCACAGTACAGAGCCTGCGTGGGCAGCGATGGAGCCCGCAGCTCTGGGTTGGCTGCTGTGAGCAGCATGGCCAAACCCCTGCAGGACAGGCATGTACTAGGCAGGTGGCGCCATAGAGCTGTCCTTTCTCTGCCCAAGCCTTCTGTAGTGTGGGACCACCTTTCTCTTCCTTCCCTAGTGTCTCAGCTGGTAAAGAATCGGCCTGCAATGTGGGACGCCTGGGTTTGATCCCTGGGTTGGGAAGATCCCTTAGAGAAGGGAAAGGCTACCCACTACAGTATTGGGGCCTGGAGAATTCCCAGGACTGTATAGTCCATGGGGTTGCAAAGAGTCAGACATGACTGAGCAACTTTCACTTTCTCTTCATACCAAGGGGATACTCCAACAGAAAGTGAGCCAGGGACTCATCAGGCATGGGGGAGACAGACCAATTTTCAAGCAAAGTTTTGCCAAGAAGATGGGGAGCTGGAGGCCAGCGGAAGCAGCAGCTGCAGAAGCCTCTGGGCAGAAAGCCATGTGGGATAGTTCACCCCCTCCCAGCAAGAGGCCCTGACCCTAGTCAGCATCGTCTGGGCTCAGCGGGGTCTGAGAGGGGGGTCCCAGGAGGAGATGAGGGAGGGCTCAGGGCTCTGGTTGGAGGCGCAGCTCTCCTCCCCTCCCTCTTTGGGAATGGAGCCACCTCCTTGGCTCAGGGCGGCCTGAGGAGCATCTCCTGCAAGCCCGAGATCGGAATGCAGAAACTGCACCGGCACCCAGCCAGGGCACATGCCCAGCCTGCCCGCTGTGTTCTCTCTCCTTCTCTGGGACATGTATTCTTTCATCCACACGTTCCTTCCTTCTCCAACCATTTGCCAAGAGCCTGCTGTGTGCCGGGCACAAAGTCAGGTGCAAAAGCATCTTCCTTTCTCATTCACGTAGGAGCGCCACTTGCCACTAAAACAGGTGGTTCTCAAGGGTGCTTGGTGTGGATTTCCTCATCTTTGAGCTTTGGCTTCTGTAGTGGTCCCTGTCCCCCAGCCCTCATCTCATGGCATCACGCCGGGGACTGACTTCTCACATCGCAGGGTATAAGCAGGGGCAGAGGAGAGTCTGCTGTGACCAGCCGCCAGCATCTGTGGGACTGGGAATAAAAAGCCGGGCAGTCCCATTCTCACTCGCCATATGGCACCAGCTGCCACCTTCCGAGGACCCTGTACCTCATACCACTGGGGTGCAGCTGGGACAGTTAGGAGGGGTCCTGAGGATGGAGACCAGGGCGAAATTCAAGCCAGAGGAGGAGTGAGTTAGGATGGAGGGAGGGGTGTTGTCTGTCCCTGAGGTGTCAGGGTGGGAGTAGTCTTCTTAGACGCTGAGGATAGCATCCTTACGTGCCAGGCGCACTCCCCGTCCGTGCTGGGCAACCATGCATATGCAACAGGGGCCCGGCAGGGAAAGCTCACACATTCAACACACAGCACTGAAGAATGAACAAGCATCTGGGGACAGAAGAATTCCCTGTCTAGAACCCTCTTCTATCTACCCGGTTAAGTCCCCAGGTGTCACCTTCTCAGAGAAGTTGTCCTCAAGCCTGTGGTCTGTCTTTCCTTTCATCACGCAACTTCAGAGATGACTCTGTGTTCCTCTCCTCCATTGAACTGATCCATTTTTAATTATAAACATTTAGTGTCATTATTTGATGGCAAGTGCTGAGAGAGCAGACATCTCTGTGTTTGCTCATCCCTGCATGTAGCAAGTGGAATTTCTCAGCAGTTAATGAAGGTCACACTTCAGGACCCTCTGCTGCACGGTCCCCCCATGAGGGCTGGGAGTTACAGAACATTCTAGTGGAGCAGGCTGCAAGGAGGCAAGCATTTCTATTTAAACATGGCATGCCATTGCCCAGGGAAGCCTCAGAATAAAGGAGCTCAGTGTCCAAGACACCAAGAATATATTGTAATTTCTCACTATAAATATTCGTTTTGTACTTCATTTTTATTTGTAATTTTTCTTACAGAAGCTAGATCTGCAAAAAGCTAGATCTGCCCTTGAGAGAATTCAGTAACATTTTATTGAGTGAATAAATGAATGAATGAATCAATCAAAAATAATTAGAATAAAATAGTGGTGTAGGATAAAACAGTTCACATGCATCTACTCCCCTCCTAGCCTCCAGGGCTGCCTGGACATTCCAGATTTAGCCTGACAGCTCAGTTGGAGGGGTCATCCACCCTGCTGGATGCTCTAAGCTTTGGAATCTTAGGAACCGAAGTCCATGAGGAGCCCAGGGACTGGGACCTGGCTTCCCAACTTGCCCTGCCAGCTCTCCTGTCACACTGCTAGTTGTATGACGTGGCTTGGAAGAGAGTGGTGAGGATATGAGTTGTCTGCTCCTCCCAGGACTTTCAGGCCCTGGGGGGACAATAACACAGTATCCTGGACCAGTCTCAGTTTTCCTGTCTCTGAAATGGGTCAAGAATCCTACTTTTTATGGGGCTCTTGTAAGGATCAGAGTCTCTCTTGAAATCCCGTGTGGTTAATATGTAGCAAATGCCAAGTAATGTCCTCTCCTCTCCTCTCCCAGTATTCCTTGGAACCTCTCAATTCCCACCCGATGGAGGTGAAGTTTGATCCCACGGAACCAAAGAGTTGGCTCAGTGTGGGGTGGTTGCCCACTTGGCTCACCACTCAGAAAACTGCCTTGCCTACAGATTGAAACTCGCTTGCCCACGTGCCTGAGGTGGGTCAGTCCAGCTGCCCTTCTCTCTGTTCCTGCTAGAGTCTAAACGATGAGGAAGGAGCCATGTATCTCAGCCAGAGAACTTGTAATAATTAGGGAACACTGCAGAGTTGCAAAAGCCCGGGTTTCTCTAGGTGGAACGTTGCTCTGCAAGTTACAACACAGAGGAATTCTGCCGGTAGGGTTGGCAGGAACTGGGCTTTTGTTCAAGGCTCATGGTTCCGCTTCTGCAGTGCCAAGAACTTGGCCAGCCAGGGTCCTGAAATGAGACAAAAGAGAAGACTATAGGTCCAAGAGTTTTCTGGGCAGCAGAAGAGAACAAATGTGTTTTATGGTACTTCATTGAATAAATGATGGATTTTCACTCTTGCAAAAGCATTTTAACATAGCTGGCTATTTAGGCTATTTCCAAATTTTCCTTTTTGTAGATATTGCTGCCACCAATATTCTTATATTTAAATTTTCACTCTATCATTGGATTGTATTTCTAGAAATGTCTTTCTGGTTCAAAAGATATGGACATTTTGCTAAGTATTGCTACTTCCACCTTTTGGAAGCCCATTATTTAGAGAATACCCGCAACAAAATAGCAGGCTTGCCGACATTGTAAATCATTGTTTTGTGATCACTGTTGGTCTTCTGGGTCCCAAATTCTTTTTTCCAAAATGTCATTTAGTGAAAGCTTTTAGAATCAGCTTATACTTTCTGCTTTATTATTCCTAATGACATTTTCTCAGAAGCCTCACTCTTTTGATTTTACTGACCCCTTACTCATTTGTCCTGGAAACATACCCCCATTTGAGATGGAATCCTGTGCTCAAAGGTCACCCCAACATGTTCGTCCAGAGATAGTTTTTCTAAGAGCAAATTTCAGCCAGGCAACATTTACTAGATGCCCTCAGCCTGAGCAAGATATCACTATCCAGAATTGAGCTGGGCCATGTCCAGGGGAAGCTGGGCATCCTGAATCTCATGGGAGGCAGGTAGGTGCCCATGATGGGGGCTGGGCAGGCCAAGACAAGCAGGGTCTGGGAGATGCTTGGTTGAATAGATGATGGCAGGAACTGGGAAACTGAATGTCAAAGGCAGGACTACAGGCATGAACAAAGTCAGGAAGCTATTTCCTGTAACAAGCAGGCTGTTGCAGTGAATGATAAATGCAATAGCTGTGATTTATTGTTTACTGTTTGCAGACATTTTTTATATGTATTTCAGGTATATTATTCTCCTCAATTCTCACAGCAACTGCAGGGGATGTATACTACAGATGGCCCTGACTTGAGATCGTTTGACTTAATTTTTCGACTTTACTGTGATGCAAAAGTGATGCGCATTCAGTAAGAACCATACTTTGAATTTTAAGTTTTGATCTTTCTCTGGGCTACTGAAAAGAGTAGCCCAGAAGTTCGATTCCCTCTCCTGATGCTGGGCGGTTGCAGCAAGCTGCGTCTATCTCCCAGGCAGCCATGTGGTCATGACGGTAAACTACGCAAAACCTACCACCATTCTGGGCCCAGATAACTATCCTGCTTTCCACTTTCAGTGCGGTAATCACATGAGGTGGTCAACACTTTCCCGTCAAATAGGCTTTATGTTAGATGATTTTGCCCCACATATAGACTAATGCATTTGGAGTATGTTTAAGGTAGGCTGAGCTAAGCGATGATGTTTAGTAGGTTAAGGGTATTACATGCTTTTTCAACTTGAGGATATTTTCAACTTACAGTGGGTTTACTGACCATAACCCCATTTCTAAGTATAGAAAGATCTGTATAGAAAGATTTACATCCCCATTGTACAGAAAACGAAGCCGAGAGAAGTGAGCTCACTTTCCTGATGTCACCCAGGGAGCAAGGGGCCAACATGGGGTCTGAGCTTGTAGAGACATTCCACCCCCTTCTGCCAAGGCAGGAGCGATGGCTGAATGAGCTGCAGTTAGAGGCAAGCAGAGAGGCCCCTGTGCCAAGTGTGTAGGGCAGAGCCATGCCCCAGAGCTCTTCAGGGTGCCCTCTCCAGGGTTCATAAGAATTAGGTCCTGCAACTGTGCAGGCAAAGTTATTCCAAGATTCTCATGATCTTTACTTACATTCTTCTAGCCCAATGATGAGGACAACAGTTCTCTCTTCAAAGCCCTTGGGAAAACTCCTGACTACCTTCCTAGTTCTGTTCTCTTTCCCCTTCCTTCTCTCAGACTTTTATGAGGTACATTGACACATTCTCTCAATAAAGTCTTCCTTGCTTCTCCCATCTAATTTGCTCCCCTTTGCCCAATACAGAATGGGTTTCTTTGCCCAAGACAATCATTTTGTCTGGGCAGGTTCACTCTTTGGAGAGCTGGGGGCAGGAGCAGGGGAGGGAGTAAAAACTCACAGGCAGAACTCGGATCCACTGGAATGCTCAGGGGGGTTGGGAACAGCCCAGGAACATTCACATTCCACTGCATTACAAAACAGGGAAATGTGCCCAAAGTCAGCGGCTCCATGCTGCGTCAGGCAATTAGCAGCCAAGCCAATGTCTATTCCCTCACCTCTTTTCCTTGCAAATACAACCCTGATTTGATTTAACCAAGGGACCAGACTCAGATGGTGAAAACCAGATTCAGCGATTGTGCTGTACTTTGTCACTCGGTCGTGTCCGACCCTTTGTGAACCCAAGGACTGTAGCCCACTAGGTGCCTCTGTCCATGAGGATTCTCCAGGCAAGAACACTGGAGTGGTTTGCCATGCCCTCCTCCAGGGGATCTCCCCAAGCCAGGAATTGAATTCAGGTCTTCCCCCACTGCAGGCAGATTCTTTACCGTTTGAACCAAACGTGGTTAGTCTTAACCAATCATGATCTCCTGCTCTCTTTCACAGGCTAATTGATTTATCAATCTCCTTCCAACTGGTGGTAGCCCTGGGATCTGGTTTGGCCAAGGAGGCTGTGGTAGGCAAAATAACAGCCTCAGAAAGATGTCTGCCTCCTAATCCTCAGAAATTGAGAATATGATACTTGATAAAGGGGACTTAAGGTTGTAGAGAGAGTTAAGTTTGCTAATCAGCTGACCTTTACATCGGGAAAGTATCCTGGATTATCCAAGTGGGCCCAGTGTAACCACAGGTGTCCTTTAACATGGAAGGAGGAAGCCGAAGAGTCAGTGTCAGTGTGATGCAGAGGGAAAGTGGCTCAGCCACGCATTGCTGAATTTGGAGATGGAAACAGGCCACAGTTGCCCCTAAAAGCTAGAAAAGGTAAGGAAATGGATCCTACCCTAGAGCCTGCTGAAGGAATGCAGTTCTGCTGACACCTTGGTTTTAGCCCAGTGAAAGGCATTTCAGATTTCTAGTCTCTAGGACTGGAAAGTAAATATGTTGTTTTAAGTTACTAAATTTTGGGTAATTTGTTACAGAAGTCTTATAAAACTACTACAGACATATCAGAGAAACTCTGTTGAGGGGTTTCTGCAAAAATGTTTGCTTTTCTGATTAAAAAAAAAAAGACTGGTTCCATTCTTTCTGCTTGAAAATATACACGATAGTAGGGGCTGTGGCAGCCCTCTTGTGACCATTAGGTCACAGCATGAAGATGAAAAGACATGCTTAGTGGAGAGTCAAAACAAACAAACAAATGGGGGATCTTGATTACATTGGTGAGTTACCAAAATAATCTGAGAACTGTGACCTTCCACACTCTTTGTTATGTGAGAATGATACTGTTTAAGCCATGTCAGTTGGATCTTGTTATTTACACAGTTCAGTTCAGTTCAGTCGCTCAGTTGTGTCCTACTCTTTGTGACCCCATGAACCGCAGCACGCCAGGCATCCCTGTCCATCACCAACTCCCGAAGTTTACTCAAACTCAAGTTCATCGAGTTGGTGATGCCATCCAGCCATCTCATCCTCTGTCGTTCCCTTCTCCTGACCCCAATCCCTCCCAGCATCAGGGTCTTTTCCAATGAGTCAACTCTTCGCATGAGGTGGCCAAAGTATAGGAGTTTCAGCTTCAGTGTCAGTCCTTCCAATGAACACCCAGGACTGATCTCCTTTAGGATGGACTGGTTGGATCTCCTTGCAGTCCAAGGGACTCTCAAGAGTCTTCTCCAACACCACAGTTTTAAAGCATCAATTCTTCAGTGCTCAGCTTTCTTTATAGTCCAACTCTCACATCCATACATGACTACTGGAAAAA